ACAATATCATCTGATGCGACACCATAAGGACTGTATTTAGATTTTAACTTACCAAGAACCCGTTCCTTGTATCAAATTAGAATTTCACTAGAATTAAGTGAATCATTAAAATAAACCATTACTGATAAAATAATATCATCTAGTGCACTCGTCATACTTTCAACATATTTTCAAATAATTTCAATAGAAATACATGAATCATTAGAACAACGCATATCTGGTAAAATTATATCATTAATCTGATGATAATATGATTTACTTGAAACATTCACTTTAATAGGATCGAAATTACAAAGTTAGCATTACTTGCATCGAAATGAATAGTATTTTCGTGCAGGTTACCATCGTACTATTGATAGAAGAAACCTGACCAGTGGTAAATAGATCTTTATTCAGCTCGTGGGAAAGTTACAGTGGAGCGTTACCTATTCAACTCACAAAGCGTTTCAACATCTATGTTATAACGTGAAAATGATGCTGCGGATTAAGGGTAGGGAATTATTGATCGGACCAAAGACGCACAAACACGTAGAACGACCTAGGGTTCTGATTGGTCTCGCTCCCCTATCTAACCCAGCCAGTTGAGTCCAGAACACAAGTCACAGCCTCTGGGTTATGAATAATTGTATTTCAAACATACTTTGTTTATATACCAGTAAAGCAGACCACAACGTCCCACAAAATAGAAAATAACATTGTACAATAATGGCCAGTAGGAAAATGACACGTTAAACAAATATTCACCAATAAGATGATACCATTTCATGTCCAAGGATAACATTAGGCTTAACAGGATAATTCTTGGGATATTTTCCTGAATATCCCAACACCTCCCTTTTTTGGAGATCCGGAGTTGATGTCCGGATTTTAAATTTTTTTCCGCGTCCATCCTCCCCCGCGAAATAATGTTGGGTCTTCATAAACCCAAATTACAATTAATTTGATTGTATTTAAAACATATTGCACAGGGAATCCAGTAAAATCGATCAGATATTGAGGATAAACGCCATCCAATTCGAAGTCATCAGGGTTTAAATCTTTAGTAAGTAGTGGATCATTATGATAATCGGCGTCCAACAAAACTGTGCCAGGTTCTTGGTTATTATTTGATGCGTGGAACACATTTTCTGGCAAAACAATGAGATCTTCGTGAGCTGGATATGTTACTGTCTGCACATGCTGTTTCGGGGATGATGGAGTTTGACTCCATTACCGGGCATGTTTCTGGAATAGAAAGTACTGGACCACTGGGCGCATCATGGATGACTGTTTCGTTTGAAGTACAGTTCATTGAGGATTCATAGAGGCTGCTGTCATTTTCCAGCTCACTGTGTATTTCAGATATCAATCCATCCACTTCCGTCGCGTCTTCATAGCATGAGTGATTTAGCAGCTGCGTGCGGAATTTGACTAATAAGTCCAAATGTCGTTCAAAGAGCAGCTGTAATCGATCGGAAGGGAGAGTCATTTTTTTGAATCAGCACCTGTGATGAAAATTACCGTATGACTAATGTCCAATGTGGTTCAAGGACACTGAGGACAATCTGGATACTGATTGGTCGAATAATCAAACTGGATTTCGTCCAATTACAGAATGACTTTGGATTGTATCTTTTCTTCATCCCGTCGCCAATTGTTATAACGTGAAAATGAGGGTTTAAATCTTTAGTAAGTAGTGGATCATTATGATAATCGGCGTCCAACAAAACCGTACCAGGTTCTTGGTTATTATTTGATGCGTGGAACACATTTTCTGGCAAAACAATGAGATCTCGTGAGCTGGATATGTTACTGTCTGCACATGCTGTTTCGGGGATGATGGAGTTTGACTCCATCACCGGGCATGTTTCTGGAATGGAAAGTACTGGACCACTGGGCGCATCGTGGATGACTGCTGTCTCGTTTGAAGTACAGTTCATCGAGGATTCATGAAGGCTGTTGTCATTTTCCAGCTCACTGTGTAATTCAGATATCAATCCCATCCCCGTCGCCAATTGTTATAACGTGAAAATGATGCTGCGGATTAAGGGTAGGGAATTATTGATCGGACCAAAGACGCACAAACACGTAGAACGACCTAGGGTTCTGATTGGTCTCGCTCCCCTATCTAACCCAGCCAGTTGAGTCCAGAACACAAGTCACAGCCTCTGGGTTATGAATAATTGTATTTCAAACATACTTTGTTTATATACCAGTAAAGCAGACCACAACGTCCCACAAAATAGAAAATAACATTGTACAATAATGGCCAGTAGGAAAATGACACGTTAAACAAATATTCACCAATAAGATGATACCATTTCATGTCCAAGGATAACATTAGGCTTAACAGGATAATTCTTGGGATATTTTCCTGAATATCCCAACAATCTAATATAAGGTGATAGGAAATATAATGTCTATACAAAGTAAGGAAGTAAATAAATACTAGAGCTCTATTGTTTTGACATATTCTTTGTTTTTCGAGGTCAACTGTTAAATAATTAACCCAAGCTGTAACAGTAATATTATGAACTGACTGAACGTGTCAAATTTTACCACACTCGAAACATTTGGCATTATGAATTGCACGCGGATAACGTGAGTGAAACTTGCCACTGAATAAGCGTTTACCGAACTTGTGCTCATCTTCGTGATCTGTTTCGCAACTCCTCAGTTAACTGCTATCTGCTAAATTTCAGTAAACACTCGATTGGGATAACGTAATAACGCAGTGGAGTTCTTGATAACCTGACGAATCATTTTAAGAAGTTGCCCTCTTTTAGCGCACTAGAAATTGTGCATTTTACATGGTCTGTTAGTAGTTCCTTGAGAGTTGCGTAGTAAAGTGAAATAGGCTTTTCTGGAAATGCCAACGTTTTTATTAGAATGTAGGTTTCTTTTCTGATGAGTCTAAGGAAATGAGCCACAATATTAACATTTTTAACATTTTTTTCTTGACCGTATTCCAGGTTTCATAGTTTCACATTATCCTCTAAATCATCAAAATTTAAATGTTTGTCCGGCTGTTCTATCAGAGGATCCATCACGACACCAAATTTATAATTAGTAGACGAATTATTACACGAGCTAGGAATCCCAGAAATAGCACAGTTTGAACCAAATAGAACTATTTGACTACAGCAGAACGTATTGTGTTTAGAATTTGAATTCGGGTACACATCAAATACAAAACAATAATTAGTTCATACAAACATCCGGAACACCATACCAAAACTAGTGGTCTCCATCTATCAGGATAGAAGAAATTGTTACATAGAATTTCCTTTACACGTATTACTACAGGCTATTTATATAAGACTGTTCTCTGCGTAGACCAGCTGTTGCGTTAGCCTCTGAAATATTAAGCATCATATAAAATAACTATGATTCACTAACTCATCAAAACTGTGAGAGCAGTATCTAAGTCACAAGTAAGAAATCCTATATATCTGATAATACTATGAGTATAAGAGCAGATGCTGCTGACTCAATGGCTGAAAGATGTGTATTGAATAGATGGATTAGTAACGGTGACAAGTTGCATTTTTATTTGAGCACGAGATAGACAGAGGAAACAAGTGGAGCGATTTCCACTGGGGATAACTATTTTCGTTGTTTTTTTCTATTTTTTATTTTTATTTATCAGTTTAAAGACATTGCTTTATGAGAGTATTCTTGATATCTATGAACAATCAAAAAATTCCGTACATGTCTAGTTTACTCCAAGACTAGTACTTCCAACGTCAGTTGTAATCTGTAAGTGTTTTACCTACACTTGCTTTAATGTGTTGTGCATATGGACAGATCAATGTGACTACTAGTGTGCAGACAGACCAGAAGATGTCAAAGACGTCAGTGTTTTGAACTATAATTTCCTGTAAACTCTATATGAGTAGCTACATTTCGGCATCCTTAACTATCACACTCGGGATGACAGGCACAAGCACAAGCAGACATATTAAATGCCGTCGGAAGCGTTTTAAACATCGGGATAACTTTACTGTAGTCATCTGTGCTAAAGTTATATAGTTTCTTTTTTGCTAATAATGGCATACAATCTTAACAGCAACGACCGTGAACATGTCAGACCTGTAAATGCAGTTATGATGTGAATTATTTTTCTCTCATTAATTTTTAAGTACCAAATGGATGGGAAGGAATGCTTTCTGTCTTGGTAATAGTAGCATTTCTACTTCTTCAATATTTGCCCAAACTTCACTAGACAACGTCAACTGATGGTTTTGGTAACTTTTTATCATGTTTTTTGCAAGAGATTTGCTTTGAATATCAATGGGTTTGCAAGTTTCTTAGAAGATCTATTGTTGAGGATTGATCACAATGTGAAAGTACTATCAAAATTTAAATAATTGTCTCACGAATATGTGCGTTATGCTATATCAGATCATAATATTGACGAACCTTGAAATGCCCATGAACAACGCACAATTATGAGGCAAAATCCTTCTTCACAACCAAAACAACAAACAAAACGACTGAGTCCGTGATAATTTGAAAATAAGAAATGTTTTCACTAGTAAACTGGACGTGCTGTTTTGCTTAAAAACGACAAAGCCTTACGATGTACCCATAGGATCAGATGGTAATCGAACGAAAGTTACCTCTAACCCTTTCGGGCTAAAAACCGAATTTTTTCTGGTACACATACCCACTGGTGTTCAGAGTATTGATTGTATTACTTACTGTCATTATGAGATGACACATGCGTCAATGATGTTACCTGTAAAAGTGCGTGAAGTTGACGTAAATAAATTTTTTCTTTAGAAATTCATTGCAGCTGATATGTGGCCAGTAATCAAGAACAACTTACAGAAACACTTGTTAAATGGCGAAAATAAGTGATTTTGGAGCTAGCTTCTTTAAATGGAGATTAAAAATTTTCTTCTGCGCTTGTATATCCGCCTAACTAAGAACTGAATCATAATCGACTGTGACACGTGATTAATGGTTTATTTGTTATAACTCACCACACTGTTTTGATTTACGAGAAAAAAACACGCACTTTTTTAAATTCTAATTTACGATGTCGCTTAACACAGCTTACGCAAGTACAATACCAGCAGTTTTCAAAATCGTTGAGATTATTCTCAATATTATACTTATCATTCTTGTTGCTGTGTCACCGAACTACGTCATTCCTGGCCCTGGAGGATGGTTATTCTTCGTTGCAATCTTGACTACATTGATTTCATTATTTTTCTATTGTATACACCTTACAAACGCAATATACAGGTTTTCGGGGCCTATGACACTAATCGTAAGTTTAAGTTCAGTTTTATAGCGCTTTTTGCGTAGTATTTTCGAAACATATCGAGATATCAACTGAAGACTTTGTATATAAAACGTAAGATCGGTGACATATTTTGGAGTATTTTTTCAGCTCTTCCCGCATCGATAAGGATAAAGAGTTATTTAGATGCGGGATACTAGCAACTGTGCGAATTATTTTTATCCCTTTCGATATGAGTACTCCGTATGATATCTTGTTCGAGGCTATATTTTCATCGCTCATACTTTACTCGGGGTTTCTTAGAATCTAATTTATCCGTTCTTGGTAATGATTTGAGGGTCTTAGTGTTCAAGTGCGCGTTTCATATAGCTGGTTTGTATATATTGGTAGAACTAATAAATAATATTTGATAAAATAGTTACGAAGTTGTTTTGAGTCATTTTATTAAGTGTTTTACGATGCTTATGCTCTAATGTCTGAAAATACCTGCTGATGTATATCAAAGCGATGTGTCTAGAGTATTATACTATATCAATTAAGATCATAAGTAAACCTCTTTTAACTTAAATGATTACTATGTATTTGGTATCATAATAAACAGAAACGAAATATCCTTTCATCCTTATTCTAAGTGCTTACAAATCCGAAACATATTTAAAATGTAAAGTAAGTCTTGTCTTCATATATTCCATTTGCTTTCATATCATTTTGTTCGTAAAAACCCGGATTCGCTTATTATTGAGTGTTGTACAGTTCAAAAATTGTATTTTAAAACAGTCGTCAGAATGCTGGTGTGTTAAATGACAAACAATACATTATAAGCAGTTAAGTTTTGATGTATACAATATGTAATTTTCCAAACGGTACTTCCAAGAAATTAACTACACTGAGTAAAAGGAACAAGTACAGAACCTTTTTCATCATCGTAGTGCGGACACCAACAAATCGCTTATTTGTATATGCTTTTTTATAGGTTCATATAACATTCGAGTCGGAATTTACGTGAAAACGTAGCAAAAAATACTACAGCTTCCCTTTTTGAAATGATTTTGGTAAATTTATAGTTGTTTTAGAGGTTTTTATCCAAGGTGAAAAGCAAATGTAGTTCTATTCCAACTTCGTTTACTTTGAAATGTACGTAAGGTTGTTTTTGAGTAGAAAGCTAGTGGCAGGCAGACATTTGGATATGATTATCTATTCATATGTTGCGCATCCATTTAATTTGTAATGTAGAGAATGGCCTTTTAGTTAAAACACAACCTGTTTCAATGTTGTTTGCAGAGTGCTTTCGTTGAATAAAAGTTTCACAGTTACATAAACGGGAGAGAGCAACTGAAGCCATTTATGCTGATTGTTTTAAGCTGTGTAAACCTAATGTTTTCCGCGTTGTTATCTGGTGCGTTTTCACGGCTCATCGTATAACAGATAATTTTGACCCTATATCGTTTTTTTCCATTAAAAATTGGACTATTGGTTCAGAGTGAATAGGCAATAATCTTGTCAACAAATAGTATTATTTGATGTATATCTAATGTTTTTCCAATGATCAACTTAATAAAATATCAAAACACACATGAAACCTTATATTTCAAGAAAAATTTTTATGATTTATAAGAAAGAAATATATTCTACTGGAGAAAAAATATCCAGGGTAAAAATAATTAACAAAATATTTTAAAACTAGGGTAACGTTTTCAAACAAACCTTAGGATATACTAAATATAAATCATATAGTAGGTATGAAGCTCTCGTTTTGTAGTATGTTACTATTTATTCTGTTAATTTTGCCGTTTAAGATTATCAAACTCTGCGTGCAAAAACAATATGTCTAACCTCTCATCCTTCCCTGACCCTAATTCCCTTTTGTAGCATAATCTTGTTTATTTTCCCTGTTTTTGCTTTAGATTAGTGATTTGTGATTTTATACCGTAATCAGTTGTTATCATCATCTTTTGACAATTTTTCATGATAATTATTTACTTAATATTATGGTCTTTGTGCTTTTCGTTTTTTTCATATTTGTGGAGCGGACAATTACCTTTCATAATTCTGAATCATAACCATTTTCACTCTTCTATTCTTATCTACTCCTGATTATTATGTGACCTCACTAGATAATTAAAGTCTCAAATCACTTTTTGATGCAATCTTTTCTATCATTTTATAGATCTATATTTACCATAAAAATATGTATACAAATTTTAAGCTTAAGTAAATGATATCGTCGAAAAAAACGTCGCTCAATCTTCTTTGTTTTTCGTGAACGACACAATGGTCTATCTTAATTATCGAGTTTTAGCCTTTACCAATCGACTGATCACGAAATACTGCTCAATATCGTGTTTATTTAGTTGTTAAGTGCTGATCAAATTCTGTTGGTTAACTTACAAGGTCAGCGCTGGTGTCTGAGTGCCGTGGGATTACATGCGTTATGCTAGGGAGTTACGTGATTAGAGATGGTCAGTAGAAAACCTTGAGCCTGGATTTATTTTAGGCGCACCTCTGGTGATTGTAGGAAATGATGCTGTGTGAGGCTTATATCCACATCTCTGGTTTTCTAGCGAACACCATTAATTCCTTAATATTAAGCCGTCTCACAAAACTCAACCGGTCTTTTTGGTTGTGTGCCCAGACATCTCTCTCAGATCTTGGTTGTGGTTTTTCCTTATCTTCTTACCACTTTAAATAGCAAAAATAAATTTACTGGAATTGACAGATGTGGTAGTTTTTGATTATAATAAGCGTTTTATCCTTGCATAGTTTTATTTAACTATGAATTTCTCACATTGATTCTATCCATTTTCAACTTGTTTGAAATTCTGCAATGGAATTCAAATAATCATTTTTCATTTGTTCTTCTTAGTAACTCGCACTTGCGTGATAAACTGTACTTTTAAAGTGATTTTTTTTTAATAATCAGCCTCTTTAAGATAATATCCTACTTTTAGTTTTATAAATAATTGTATTAATTAGTCATATTTTGTTTTCTATCAAGCGAAATAAAAACTAGTTAGGAATATTCATTGAAATAACAGTATAAGTATTTTTAAAAGTTTTAGGTATAAGAATAAGCGAATGTCGGAATTATGCCTACTGTGAGTATTTACAGAATAAACTAATAGACAAAACGGTGACTTTTTAATTGATCGATCTGTTAATAGTGACTTCTATTATTAGGTTTGGATATTAATGATTTTTAATATTCATATGAAGGTATTAAAACATTTAGCAGTCCAACTATAGCTAAATAAATGGATGTTTGACGGACAAAATGTAAGCATCCTTAAAACAGGTTTGTGGAAACAACTAGCACCAATAACTATCTTCAGACTACAATTTGTCGAATTCTTTTGAGAAGCCACTACTAGTGCACTTCAACCATGTAGAATTTGAGGCAGTTACTCACCAAGTGCTTTGGAAGTTGATTTTGCGCCATTAGAAATAAGAGTTAATCATTTAAACCGTTGTATGTCGTAAAGGTGATCTGAAGGTCAAGTGTACACATGCAAGACCAATGGTTTTGTACTTGATTCCCAATAAGGTCATGGATACGTACTGCTGTAAAGTTTTACACTAGCAAGAAACGCCTTTTATGGGCTTGGTTTGGAATGGTGAGATTAGTTAATTAATTGAACTGTTTAGATCTAAGTGCTGATTGTAGTTTTTTCAGTTGGTAGTACCGTTTACTCAAATTTGCATGTCAAACTAGTGCTGTCAAAGAATGTACTTCTTAATTCAAGTGAATAATTAAGGTAATCTATAAGAAACAATTATCGACTATGTATTTGTCTATCTGCATTTTTCTCCTCACTCCTTTATATTCATCTTTAATATCATATTAATGATAGCAAAAATAACTTGTACAAATATTTTCATGATAAAATTGTATCCCATATGGAGTCACAGAAACCCAAGAACTACTTAGCTATTTTATGTTATTTCAAGATTATTTAACAATGTGTTAGACGACAATACTGAATTGATTTACATGCGAGATATCTAAGTCATACGGTTCGTGGTGATTACTGCTGAAAAGTCACAAATAAAGAACTATTCAATGCGCTTCAACTTTTATTGGTTTTTCGACTAAACTCACTAGTTAAATCACGTACCGATCTAAGTGAGACAACATTAGAATCCTAAAGATACTAAACGGTCGTTTCTTTCTAGTATGAAACTCCTTAACTGCGCTGCAACCCGGAACTGAGCTTAGGTCCTGCGGTCTCCCACACGAATGCCCAAATCTCTTAATAACTGAGTCGGTGTCCAGTGGTATACGAACCTAACAGCAATCAATCCACGACATTGTCTGACGATCTTCAGTTGCATCCAGTGGGTATCTCTTTCACATCCGACACTGTTTAGCTCAACTAGTGAGAGATTTTCACCGATACTCATGAAGTTCAACCTCGATGTTAGACACCAGTAAGCACATCATAATTGTCTGTATGTGATTGTGAAGGTTGTTGAGTTTCATTGGAAGCACATCCAGTGCTTCCAGATTTTCATTGGCTGACTAACTTAGATCAACTCGTAATTTCAATGAAATTCAACAGTCATCATAATCCTATACTGTTGATAACATTATATAAATTACCGATGAATTGTAAGAAATTTCCACCAAAATTACTATACATTATTTTGTGTAAGTAGGCTTCATAAATGTTTTGTCAAATCCAAATGTTGAACATTTATGATTGAATCAATTAAGAGATTAGATTGAATAATTGATGTATCATATATTTAGAGTATTTTTCTAAAAATCAAACTATGTATAAAACAGAATATGTTTTTGAGATGTAATCTACTGAATTCTAGTGATATCTTTAAAAGTAGTATGACAGTATGCCAGCGTTAACTATACACTTGTTCACTTCCTATTGGTCTACAAACAAAAGGTCTATATGAAAACTGATAGCAAGACCTTACAAATATTCATTTATTTGGCTTGATAAAAGTATTTACAGAACAAACCTATTCATTAATTTTAAGGTAACAGGTAAGAATACATGTAAGGCAATAGTTTA